GTGCCGCGGGCTCCGGGGCCGCGCCGTGCGGAGACAGCCGTCCCCCAGCCTGTTGCTGCCCCGCGGACAGCGCGGAGCACCGCGGCTTAAATGTCTTTATTCCGTGTGTGTGTGTGAGTGTGCGCGTGTTCCCCCCTCTCCGGCTTTTAACGTGGGTTTAAGGGGATTAAATCTGATGCAATCTGGGGGCTAAGAATAGCCGTGTCCACGTTCCCTTGCATGTGCGGAGCGCTCCGAGGGGACACGGGCGGCGGGACAGCCGGCGCTCCCCGCGCTGCGATGTGCAGGGATGCGCTGGTTCCCGGGAGCCGGGGAGAGGCTGGGCAGCCGGAGCTCGGGATGGAATTGGTATGCGGTGCCCTAACCGRGAGGAATTGCCTTTCTTTATTTGCAGGGAGCTGTGAACCTGAGTAATTTGCAAGTGTGGCAGACAGCAAGTCTGAGCTTATTCTTCATTAACTGGCGAAGTGCTCCGCTTGTGTGTCTGGAATAATGCTCCTAGAGAGTGTTGCATGTAAAATAAGGTTCTTCTTCACGTAGCTAAATAGAGCTATAACCGTTCTGCAGTTTTAATTTAAATCGTGCCAAAAATATTTTGCTTATTGTTGGATGCAGGGCTCCAATCTGACAGTCTCAGTCTTCCAAAAATGATTTTATTCCTCCTAAATTGATTTTTTTTTCTCTTTTAAATGCTACTTGTGTTTATTTTAAGGTATAATTCATTCTCATTCTGTCATTGTATTTCCCATAGTTTGGTGGTTTCCCATTTCTCGCTCCGTTTCTGGATGGGTAGAAGCCTGTGACTATCAGTGTGGGAGCAGAACACCTTTCTGTTCTTTTAATAGGTTTTTTTTGGCAAAAAGTTAGGCTTATTGCTTTGAATAATAATTGAATTAAATGTATTCCTAAGGGAATAGCCATCGAAAATAAAATTGGGGCAAGCGATTCCCTTGTAAAAAGGGTTAATTTACATTAGAATTAGAAGTTAGTGGTTGAATATGAAAGGCCTGTGCAGTTTGCAACTGCTGTTGCTCTCAGAAAATGAATATTTGGAGTGGAAGTTTAGAGAGCATCAGGCAGCATCGTTCATCTTTGCAGATGTAGTAGCATTATTAGCATCCCTCTTACCTCTGGGGCACAGTTATCTTCAATTTCCAGACACAAGTTTTATCTTCTATCAAATTCTGGCTCTGCAGTGTAGCTGGTGAGCAGTGCTGTGCTGTTTATTAGGTGCCAGCCTGCCTTAAATCTCTGCTAAATGTGTGAGGGAGAGATACCTCCTGGCTCCGAGCAAAGAGTGAGAGTGAGCCCCCTGTTACTTCAGATTTTTTTTTCCTTTGGTKGTGTAGTTATTAGGATTCAGGGAGCCAGGCAGTTTGCTGACTTTATAGTGTGTGTGTGTTCCATTTTTGTAAGGAATCTTTGTGCAGCTTGGTGAAAATATTTTTAATGTTGGTGATGTTTTCTTGTGTTTAATTATCTGCAATCCAGGTGTCATTAATCTGGGCTGTGAATTAATAACTGGATAAGAGCTTGAAGGCATATTCGTACGTGGTTGTGGTCAGCTCTGTTCTCTTAGAGGGAGACTGAAGAGGGGACAGAACGTTCTCTTGCTTTAGAAATCACACTTTTTTATCTCTTTTTTTTTTTCCTTTTGGATCAGGTCTTGAAGTGTGGGGTGAAGGTTTCTCTTCACGGTGCATGGACGGAAAGCCAATGCGCAGGTAAGACACAAAAACAATTGTTCTTCTCTTCCCCAAATAGGATAAATCACATGAGTTGGTTTTGTACGTGCCTGGACCGTRAAATGTTGTGTGGYTTTGGATTTTWWWAAAAAAGCCTGGCTACAGGGAATTGGGAAATAAATAGTTCCTCTTTAGTCCTTTCTTAAATGTATTTAGTTTTCAATATTTACAAGACTAGATGTCTTGCAAGAAGAGTAAGGAAGACAAGTTACTGTAATTCTCCATCTCCTTTTCYACTTTTCCCATTTACTGTCATATTTTGAGTTCCAGTATTTAATTACTTAGGTATTCAAATTGTATAAAATAAACTGCCTGGGAATAAATTTAAACTTGATTTTCAAGGGGCACTATTTTTCCCTTAACGAAAGGAGTTTGATGGAGCGAGGTCTTGGGTGAAAAGGAGATTTCCTTCTCTAATTATGGATGCCAGCTGCCTCGGTTCTAATGAGCTGGAGATGCAGCTGAAGTTTAATTCAGGGGAGTTCTTGCTGTGGTTGTGTCAAAAACATTCTGTCTCATATAGAGAAAAAGTTGTCACAGTAATTTAGCATGATGACAGGTTTGCAAACAGGGTTTCCTGCTAGTTCTTGTTGATTTTTCCCTGTTTGATGGCAATGCCRTGGCAAAATTTAACAGCAGATACATTTCTGTACATGCTAGAGGCTGTGTGGAAGCAGTTTCCTGAAGTTCTTCACCTCTAAATGAATTGAAGAGAGCTCATGCAGCTTGCTTGGTCTRTTTATGCTCTTCGGGGTGTTAAAAGAAGGAAAACTTTATTATGGGTAATTTTGTAAAGACTCATGTAAGAGAAGGCAAGGCTTTTAACCACAGGTGAATATATAGAGCATTTTTAGCTACAGAAACCATTAGCCTGGGTTCTGTTTGAAGAGGCAAGAAGTAAATAGTCACTTAAACGTTGAAGAATGGCACGATGTTGTTTTAATTAAATGAACTTCTCAAGCACAGCAAAAAAGGTCTGTGCCACTGCTGCAGCTCAGTCGTGAGTAAACCTGGGGTGTGATAGGGGCATCACTGGGTATTGTTCAGCATTTTTGCCAATATAGGAAATGTGGTTTGGACAAKGAAGAGCTGTATGGGACATTTACAGTCAATTCTTTTTCCTCCAAGATGGAGTAAGTAGCAGATGAGCTCTTTCATTGTAGTCTTCTTCAGCAGAGGTTGTTTAAATCTTAACCAACATAAGCTCACAGCTTTTCAGGTTCTTGTGTTGTGCTCCRTTTATCAAGATACTTTTGCAAAATGACATAAAACTGGCTACTAGCTTGGCTTGTGTTCTTTCTTTCTCCCTATTTTTCATGTTCCTAATGGGGAAATTGAGGTTCTGAACTCATTTCCATGCCYGCTGTTTTCTGTGTGTTGCATTGAGGCAGAGAATTCATGTGCTGGAGTCCATGTGTCTGTGGGCTTGTGGCCTTGGGTTTGCTGTTGTGGAAGTTGTGTCAGTTTTAATTCTAAAGGTGGGCAGCAGCACAGGGCTGAAGAAGTAGAGGTTTTTTATTATTGCTGCAGCCTGTCCTGACAAGCACATCTCTGCTGGGAGCTGTGGACTTCAGTTCTTGAATACACTTGCCTGTTTTAAGGGCCTCTGTGTGGGTTGTTAAAATTTCTGTTTGTTCTTCTATTGCCTGTCTTAGCAGAAAATGATAAAAGCTTSCTGATTGGATTTTGGGCACAGATCTCCCTGTGAACTCCAGCTAAGCAGATGGCAGAGCACTTTCTTTTATCCTTTTACTCWGGGCTCTGAAGCCAATTTAACACCCCACGTGAGGGTTGTAGGTCCTGCACGAAGAGGGGCTTGGCCAGTGGTGGGTTAATAAACACGGTGAGATGGTGTCAAATGTGTACAGCATTCAGAGGGGAGGMGGTACAGCTTGAACAGACAAGGAATTCCAGCTATTCCTGTCAAGATTATGGTAGGGAAAATGCATTGCTGCTGCAAACGGGATTTACCCTGCATTAGGAATGGTTGGGGCAGGCTGTTCTTGCTCACTTTCAGGGAGAAGCAAGAGAATGTGGCTTTGCTGAAGGGAAAAACAAGCCAGCAGAGACTTCTCAGTGAGGAAGCCAGACAAGGAGGGCAGAGCAGATGATGGCTAGGGCCAGTCAGGAGTCCTGCACTCCTCAGGCAGGTCTGTAGGGGTGAGGAGGGGAGCAGGGAAGTCAGCAGCTCAGGATCGGTGGGTGCACAGTCAGGTGCAGATTTGCCTTTAACACAGCTCAGGCATGAGAGCTCSAGCAGCTCCTGAACAAACTGGGGAAGCTCTCCCAGCTTTTCCTGGCAGCYTTTTCCCAGCTTCCAGCAGTGGTGTGTCACAGCAGGCTTGAGCAGCCAGAGCCCTCTGGAGGAAGAAGATTTGGGATCTTGAGTGTGCCCTCAGGAAATGATCCAGCCGCTTGGACATAGCTCTCGCCAAAAAGAAACTGCAAAAAGCTCAGAAACATTTTGGAAGACTCCAGTAACGATCTCCTCTTTTAGAGTATGGGCATYCTCTTGGGTGAAACTGAGTTTTCTGGGCTTAGTCAGTGAAAATCAAACTAAACGATGTAAATAGGGGCAAATACACCAGATCTGTGCTGTTTATCTTTTGTGTAACCTAAAATAATATTTCAGTCAGGTTTATTTCCTTGTTTGCATCACTCAGCTTTGTTGAGAAAGTACTGAAACCTTGCTTGCTAGGCAAGAAAATAAATCCGTGGTATTTTTTCTTAATAACCAGACTTAACTAACTTTGTTCCTAGAGTACTGAGTGCCACAATAAAGCATTTCCATTTGCTTGGTTGGTGTGTTGTTGTGTTGACTTGTGTTGCCAAAAGTTGCCAAATCAATGGTTCTTGTTCTCACAGCTTTATAGTGAGTATAGGAAATATTTCTTAATTTCAAATCAAGRCATTGACAGAAATCACTACCAATTTGGTCTGTTATTTTTATTTGCTACTAAAATCTCTTGCTACTGAAATCCACCCCAGYAATGTGTGATTTTTGAATCTCAGTTGATGTTTTTAGCCTGAGACATGTGTTTCATAAGCRTTAGGTCAGCCTGTTGTTTTCTGCTGAACTGTGTGAAAGTCTGTTTGTAATCTCGTGCTGAAGYATATATTATCTTAAACAAAAAAAATGCAGATTTGAAAGTTAAGGTGCCCTGTGACAGCGTGGGAGAGAATTTACCTTAGGTGTGTGTTATTAGGTATTTTTTTTGAACTTTGGAAGGAGCTGCTGAAAGGATGGATGTCTCATGGATGTCCCTGTTAATGAATGAAGTTTTGGGCACTGGCATAGCAGAATGAAATGGAGGCAGAGCAGCCTGTTTATTTAGCTGACTTAGTGTTGCCGACTGCCTGTGTTCCCATTTGTGCTACAAAAACTGATCCTTTGTCAGCCCTTTCTTAATCCCATTTTATTTGCTGATTTCCCCAGCCCTGCATTTTGATGGAAGCTAATCCCGGAATATCTGCATAGCTGGGTGTGAATGTTTTATCCCCGAACACACAGGTTTCCTCTGGATCCTCAGCCCTCCTTGATCACCCCGGGTGTTCAGGAGCAGCTCTGAGCTCTGTGTGGGGAGAGGCAGCTCCCCTGCCATGTGAGAATCAAGTGCTGCCTTCTGTCTTTCACACCTCTAAGCTACTGACTCATCATTTCATTCTCTATGCATATATATGCATAATGCACACATAATGCAGGGGAATTATCGTCCTCGTGGAGACACAAGCCATCAGTCGTGTCCTTTAAATTCACACTTCTGTGCCTGTGTGTAGCAGCAACCCACCGAGCTTCACAACGGGCATCTGGGTTGATCCAGTGTGGAAATTCCTGAGCCAATTGATCACTGGCTTCTKCATCACCCAGAGATAAGTTAGGGATGCATCAGGAGCGCTCGTTTGGTTGTTACTCTTTTTTCCATCCATTCAGGCTTCTTTAATCATTAACCAGCACTTTCTCTCCAGGAGGAAGGAGGCTGGGGACAATGCAGGCTCTGAGATAAATGCTGATGGGARCAATGAAGGAATGACTCCAATTCTTGCTAACCAGACTCCTTTTCAGTGAGTTAAAGATGTGTTCAGTGGGGCCTCATCTGGGCAGAAAAATCCTGTTTTGTCCTGGCTAGGGAAGGGCCAAGTAATCCCGTGGCATAAGATGGTACTTCCCATGGCTCTGCATTGGCAGGAATATTGTGTATTCCTTATGGCAGCATAGCCTTWATCTAATCTGTCTGTACTCAGAACCTGTGCCAGTGTAAAAAGCATTCTGAGATCTGCTTTAGGGCTGTTTCTTGTGGGAGATGTCTTTGAGSAAAATTCACAGGTGTGACAGTGGGGTTGTCCTTTCTGAAAGGCTGGCCTGTCCTGGATTTGCACCATGTCTTCTGTTCTGTAGTTACATGAAGTGGGTTTTTATTGGAAGAATGCTTTTTCTGTGCTTTGACTGGTAGCCTGGTCAAGACAAACTGTCCAGAATTGTAGTAGCATGTGTTTTGAAAGAGCTTTTATTGTGTTCTGGTTTTTTCTTCCAAGGGTTGGTTTGACATAGTTCAAAACACTTCATGCACAATAAAATCCACTTAGCTTGCTTAGCAGGAGCCAAACTCTACAGGGGAGTGTTTGTCACCACCTTTCTCCGTCTTTTGGTAGAGGAATTAAATTACTTACCTTCTGGCCTTGGCTGCTAAGGACTATGAAAATAAGCCAATTAGGTAAATTAGTCTTCAGCCAAGGTTTCTTGGGGTTTTTGTAGGGGTACCATTAAATTTGGTTTGTGTGTGTTGCTGCAAGGGGAACTTAGTTTATGTATTGTTTGTGAGGAACTTGGCAGAGCTTTGAGAATGATTGTCAAACCCCCCAAAGGTGATTTTGGGTTGTGAGGGACAGGAGTGGGTGGAGGAGACTGAGAGGCAGTGTAACAGCAGAAGGATTTGTCAGATGTGTCAGGAAAGCAAAACGGTGATGGATGGGAAAAGAATGGAGTAGGGATAAAAACCCAAGGCGTTTAAGGTGCAGACACTGAGCAGGAGCAAGCAGCAAAACCCAGAGGGGAGCCCCAGCTGGATCTGTGTAACTAAGATAGCAGGAAGAGGTAATGGTCTAAAACATCTGAATATGATGATCAAGGAGAGGGTGTGGACAGAATGRGAAAACAGGCTAAGGTGGAAGTGAATAATTTGAGCTGCTGCAAAGAGACTGGTTTCCCAGTGCTTAGAAAGTGCATTTGACATWTTAATGAGGGGAAAAGATGTGAGGGGTTTTTTTTTTTATTTTTTTTGTTCAAGCCTGTTGCAAATTACATTGAGCCGTGRCAAAGCCAAGCTTGGTTTCTTTTTAACTCTTTATATGAACAGAGTGAGGTACTGACAGCTCACAAATGCCAGTGCACCAGCGAATCCGGTAGTGGACAGCATGTTTTGGGTCTTGCAGTAGATCTCTGATGACCATAAGCCATCAATATGCTGATATTTTGCTTGCTGTGCTTTAATTGCTCTGAGTGATGGTTTTTCTTTGATGTGGGAAGAGGCAGCCGTTTCCTGATTTTTTTTTTAATTGCATGTGGAACTGGGAAGATACAATGTTTATCCTCCCTGTGCCAGTAACTTTTAAGTATTCTTGAGCAATGCTTCATCTCTAAAGTTACCATCCTGACTCAATTTTCTTCCTTTTTTGGGAGGTCAGTAGTGGTGGATACTTGGATTGTTTTAACTTTTTCCCGTTTGATTTGATTTGGTTTTGCTTGCCTTCTGCAGTCCTTAGTCTGCCAGTCTTGGGGAAGATGAACCTTCTTTTGACACGTGTCAGGGAAAGTGGATTGAGCCAGGAGCCTCCATAACTCAAAAATGACGAAGAGGTGATGATTCAGTGGGTATTCTGTGAACCTGAAAAATGCTTGTGGTAGTGTGCATCCCATCTTGAGCTCCTGAAGTCTGTGTGACAGTTTAGTGTGTTCAGACATCACAGTGATGAGCAACCCCATTAAAAACATAGGTAGAAGAGCAGAGGAGTTTGGTTAAATCRCGGAGCTGGAATTCCTTGCAGCGGAAATCCATCTGTAGCTCTGTCAAAGAAAACTCCGGCTCTTGACAGCGGGCAAGTCAGCTAATCTGTGCTTTGAGTCACTCTGTGAAATGGGGATAATGTGCCTTTACCACACGAGGCTACGGTGAGGTTCAGCTCATAAATATGTATGTGTAGCTGGATATTACAGCCGTGTGTCATAGAAAGCGTATAAAAATAGCAATAAATAGAAGCCTGCTGCAAGTTGGCATTTGTTTACTTCTAAGCAAGCTTTGGTTGGGGATGGATTCCTCTTTCATGTGGTCACGTGCTTGTTTTCCCGTCCCGGCACGGACTTGCGGGCACTGCCGGCGCTCGGCGCGAGCTGCGGGGTTTTGGAGCGGGGCTGGCGGTGGGCTCGCTGACCATGGTCCTGTGTTACTATCTCCTGCGCTGCAGGTGTACCAGCACTCGGCCAGGAGAGACCGGAATGGACGTGACCAGCCGCTGCACCCTCGGAGATCCCAACAAGCTGCCCGAGGGGGTGCCGCAGCCCGCGCGCATGCCCTACATCTCCGACAAGCACCCCCGGCAGACCCTGGAGGTCATCAACCTGCTGCGGAAGCACCGGGAACTCTGCGATGTGGTGCTGGTAGTGGGGGCCAAGAAGATCTACGCCCACAGGGTGATCCTGTCGGCCTGCAGCCCCTATTTCCGAGCCATGTTCACCGGGGAGCTGGCGGAGTCGCGGCAGACGGAGGTGGTGATCAGGGACATCGATGAGCGGGCCATGGAGCTGCTCATCGACTTTGCCTACACCTCGCAGATCACTGTGGAAGAGGGGAATGTCCAGACCCTGCTGCCGGCTGCTTGCCTTCTCCAGCTGGCCGAGATCCAGGAGGCCTGCTGCGAGTTCCTCAAGAGACAGTTGGACCCTTCCAATTGCCTGGGCATCCGGGCTTTTGCTGACACTCACTCGTGCCGTGAACTGCTGAGGATTGCYGACAAATTCACACAGCACAACTTCCAGGAGGTAAGGAGCTGGTGTGCTGGAGTCACGGGGTAAAGTCTTGTCAATGTGGTCTGGGAGAGCTTTGGGCAGCTCTCATTTTGTCCTTCTTTCCAAATCCTGCCTTCATACCTGCTCTGTGCCCCGATAGTGATGGGAGCCAWATGCCAAGTGGGGAAGAAAGAGGGGAGAGGTGCTGGTATGGCTGTGTTGTACTGATGGTTTGTATATGATCTACAGCATTTCTTCCCTGAGTGCTATGTGGGGGGCAAGGTCGTGGCTGCAGTTGGATTTGGCATTGAATCTGTTGTGCCTGCATAATGGTATGACAGTCCACTCCTCTTTCAGAAATAGTCTGAATTGGATTCTGCATGGTTGGAGGGGATGCAGGTGTTAAAAGTAAGGACAACACGTCAGTAGAACCCAAAAAAATTGGTGTTGAGCTCTGGGATTGGAGAATTGAGTGGGGGGAGCCTGAGTCTGCCTCAGGGGAGTCTTCAAATCCCTTGTTATAGCAGAACTAGGGTTTTGCATCTATTATTCAGCAGAAGTTGTCTGAAAGTAATTCAGACGTGTAATATTGTATCTGACCTTTATAAACTCAAGTCTCTCATCCTTTGTTAATTCTGCCTAGATGATTTTTCTGGAAAAAAAAATGCCAGCAGCTGGTTCAGGGAAGGATCAGCATAATAATTAAAGGATTCTCTGAGCAACAGTGTGAGAAGAGTGGGTCTTTGCTGAACTATTCCACCCAAATGCAGAAAGGAGTATAAAGCTTTTTAAGTAGTGTCTTTCCTGAGCCCTGGTTGGAAGGRCAGGAATTTGTATTTTGGAGGCAGCTGCTGTGTAGGAGCTGTGTAGGAGCGTGTTCAGCATGAAGGTCTGGTCCCTTGCTAGAGAGATTCTTCTCTTGCCTCTTGCAGAAAGTGCACTCTGCTCTCCTTTGGAACAGGTAGCCTGCTGCAGAGAAATCTCCTCTTCCCACCAGCTTCACAGGGAGATCCTTTCCAAAGAGAGGAGCTCCAGGGACTCCTGGTGCTAATTTAGTTTCCCCAGAGAAGCAGCAGTATGGAAGTACTGTGAGCAATGGCAGCTTGTCTCTTTTTCATCTTCTGACATGGGAGAAATAGATTGGAGCTGTATTTATTTCAGTCAGATAGTGCTTAAGAGAAATCTGAGCAGAAGCAACACAGAACGTGGCTGTTGGACACAGTGAAGACAGTTCTTGGTATCTAACTGTAGACATAACATCAGTTTACTCCAAAAGCTGTAATTAAATAACTCTTTTCTACCAAAGAGAATTTGCTGTTTAAGATGAGTTTGTTTTTTGTAGAACTTAGTGGTTTCTCAAACCCCTACATTTTAGCTGGCCCCTTCATGTGCTCTGTGCTTGCTCTGCACTTCTTTTCTTCTGGGTTTTTTTTTTTTTTGGGGAGCAAGATGCTATCCAGATGGTTGTTTATTTTCAGTGCTTGGTCATTTTACTGGTTATTAGATCTTATTATTACATGAGTAGGGCATGCTTACAAGCCTCTAAATAACATTTTAACAGCCTAACAGTTTTGTTTTAAAATGTTTTAGCATTAATACATGCAGCTGGCTGTTAAGAGCTGCTTGCTATGGGCTTCTTTTCTTTTGCAGTCCCTTGAAGACAACTTTCTGTCTTCCTTATCCCTGTTAATGCACATGAAGGCAAAAGATGATGAAGATGAAGATGATACAAATTATAATTGACTTAACCTAATCACAGCCTCTGGAAAGCAGAGGCTTAGATTAGAGCACTATTTCTTTGGCCTAGGCAGGTTTTGGTGCCCATTTCAGTGCCCCAGAAGTTTTGCAGCTCTTCATTCATAATAATCACTTGTTTTGCTCCCACTGTTTCTCTGCAGATAATGTCAGTGGTGCTGCTCTTTGGGGTTGTATTCCATTCTGGCAGTATTTCCCACCTGGATGGTGGATTGGTGATCCCTGGTGGAAGCCAGGGACTTGTCTATTTAATCATCMTCCACTGTGGAGGTTGAGAACTGATAAAAAATTTGCCTTCCTGTGTGGGGGCTGTGTGGTCATCGTTGCTCCGAGCTGGCAGAAAGGAACGTGAGCTGGGAATTTCCTGGATGGCAGTGTGAAATATTAAGCTCTAGGCACCAGGCCAACCCATGCAGTTATTTTGAATGCAGTTTGAATTGCTTCATGTCCTCTGCTGTGCTAACCTCTACTTCTATTAATTTTTATGTGTATTGCTGCATTACATCATTAACTTCTTGGTAAAATGTTTTTCCAATTTTTCCATTCCTCCCAATTTAATTTGTTGCCTAAAACCCCTAGTGGATCTTGTGCATGTAATGTGAAATGGTTCTATTAACAACTTCACTGTACAAAAACAGCTTTTGTATATTTTTATTTTTTGTGTCTTGACATTTGTGTGAAGGGAAAAATTTTATTTATGGGTGGACAACTTGCACTTTTATCAACAGACAAAAATTGCACTCCATATTGTGTAGTCTGACATTAATTCTCTCTGTTTGTAAAAGCACTGATGTACAGGAATGCTGCAGAGGAAATGAAATCCATCCAGTTCTGTTCCAGTAAACAAGTCAGTCGAATAGATCATTAATATTAGTCATGCAATTATGATGAGTGCCCTGATAATTAAGCCAGAATAAACCAAAGCATTTTAAATTATTTGTTTTACTATGTAAACTAACAAGTTGCATATTAGTAATAACTTAAGTTTAAAGAAGTGCTTCCAGTGTTTTGGATTTTGTGAGGCCATCGATGCCACTGGGTGTCCTGAGGGTCAAAGGGAGAGACTGGATGAGCATCTTYCACTCAGGAATTTCCACAGCAGCTGTTTTCAGACTCTGAAGCTGCATTTACAAACTGTCAGAGCAAAGTTTACACATAAGCTTGTCTTTCTAGAAGGAGGGAGACTATGGAAAAAAGCTGATAAAGATCTTTAATGAGCAACCCAGTTCCTACTTGAAGGCTGAAGGAGTGTGTGGGCCAAAGCTTTTTGCAGCCCTTGCTGTCCCTGAAAGCCCAGGGGTCCCAAGTACCAAGTCTGGTAACTGATCCCCTTGTCTGCTGTGTTCTTTTTTAACAACRTTTTCTGTTGTCAGTAACTTGGCAATCCCTGCATATTTGTTCAGTGCCCTTAAATAACTTCTTCAGGTAATTAAAAGGACTGCACAGCTGACTGCTGTTGAGATGATGGTGTCAAAGAGTGTTTTTCTTCAATTTATGCAGCAAATCCTGAAATAAGTCACAGAATTCTAATGTGGTTGCAGATGATAAGGACAAGCCAACATTTTCTGTCCTTGAACCTTTTGGAAATTGCAGGCTACAGACTGGGGATGCTTGTAGAGAAGGCAAGCTGGCAGTTATCAGTCAGGCTATTTCTGTGGTTTTAATTTTGATTCTTGCAYCTTTTCCATCTACCTGGTGTCTGTGCAGGAACCGTGGTGTTGTGTGAGCTCCCAGGGCAGCCTGATTGACTCATGAGCAGTCCTCCAGCAGCAGCCAAGGCCTCCTGAGAAACTTGGTTGCTATCTTGGATGCTGAAGGAATTAATGTGTTTGTCAGTGGCTTGACTTTCACAAGAGATCAGTCCTTAGGGGCTCYGGAGGCTCCGATTCCCTCTTTAGTGCATCTCGACTACTGCATACTCCATGTGTATATTTAGAGCAAATCAAAGAGACAGGATCAGATGAGTCTCCTTTTCTGTTCTGCCACAAATCAGCCTTTCCATGTTCTCTGCAATGCCTCCGGTAACTTGCTTGAGATTCTYATTTTTGTGCTCTTGTTTTGGTTTCCCTGTGAATCTCTCTATTCTGGTGCCGCTTTTTAGTCACGAATTTATCGCGGTTTTATTTCTGCTTTATATATTAGACACGGCAAACRAGGAGACTGATTGTAAAGGGAGGCTTTGTTTTTCCTGAATTTTGAAGCYTGATCAGTGTCTTCTGTGGCTTAACCCTTTAAAAGGTGTAAAATTCCCTGTCRCTTGCATCCCCATCTAGAGGTGACTCGTTGTGGTGTTGTTGCATTCTGCTCTGTGCAGAAAACCCTTCACGTGTGTTGGTAGGATGGGCATTTGGCTTTTCACTGGGTCAGTCCATGCAGGGCAGGAGTGGTGAATGGCTCTGGTGCTTTGTCTTTACTCTTCTTTTTTATCTCTGCCTTCCCCAGGTGATGGAGAGTGAGGAGTTCATGCTGCTTCCTGCCAACCAGCTGATAGACATCATATCCAGTGACGAGTTAAACGTGCGCAGCGAGGAGCAGGTGTTCAACGCTGTGATGGCCTGGGTGAAGTACAGCATTCAGGAGAGGAGACCCCAGCTGCCACAGGTAATCCTGGGCACGGTAACATTCCAGGCTGCTTTATCCAGGGGGAGAGGAATGAGGGATAGTAGGGTGGTGCCACAGCAATTCTGAATGGTGTAAAGGCACCAAAATGCTGTTTGACTCTCACCTGTGTYAGGTGGCTTGCACTGTCCCTTCATCTAGGCTGGGAGCTGCGCTGGCCAGAGCCYTCATTAGGGGCTTTGTAAGATTGTCCCCAGGTAGGACTTGCCAAACRAGCTCACTCCAGCAGTCTGTCCAGACAAACCTGCCTGCTCTGCTTTGAGAGTCATATCAACACCGCCGTGGAAAAGAACAAGGCTGTCTTGCTTTGCGGTGCTTCTTTAAGTTCTGCTGCTTGATTTGTGCCTCAGCCCTCGTGATGTTACAGTGGAGCTTGTCAGAATGATTTTGTTGGAATGTGATGCTTCATCTAAGCCAAGGCATTTCACGGAGCAGAACCCATTCTGACAAAGCTGTCAGCCCAAAGCCTCTGAAGTCTCGGGCTGGCTGATCAAAAGAGGCGAGCGTCTGCCTGCCTCGGTGTTTCTGCTTTGGAAAGAGACATTAAATGCAACTTTATTTACTGGAAAGCTTTTTGAAAATGGTTTTAAGTAAACAAACCAAACTGGAAAAACCTGCTCTTCTAAAGGTAGCTTTTGATGCTTTTATAACTGTTTGCCTCTGYCTATACGTGCTTGGGCCTTCAAATCCTAAACTCTTGTGAAAGATGTGTTGTTTCTTAACTCTCCATTTACCCTGAAATACAACTCAGGTTTAAGAGAGCTAAATGGTTGATAAAACCACTAACTAAATTAGTCTTCAGGCAGATGTCTTGACATCTGTCATTTTTTAAAAGTTTCCAACTGTGACCTTGTTTTCAGCTACTAATAGATCCAGTGGATTGTCCCCTTTCAAAGACTGATTTTCTGTTGGGTGTCTAAACTGGGATATTGAAAAGGCAAATSTGCTGTGTGACAAGCTGCATTTAACTAAAATTCTGTTGTTTTGGCTTCTTCCATCTCTGTGAGCACCTGTGGTTCACCACTGGTGTTCTGGTTTGTGTTTTAGGTCCTGCAGCACGTTCGCCTCCCCCTGCTGAGTCCCAAGTTCCTTGTGGGTACAGTSGGTTCTGATCCACTCATTAAGAGCGATGAGGAGTGCAGGTAAATCTCCTCAGCCATTTATGGAATTGGATTRTGTCGTTCTCTGAAATTGTGCTCATGTCTCACTGGCAAACAATTTTGTCTTTGTCAAGTGGGAAGATAAGAGAAGCAAGAAAAAGTGTTTTGCATAATAGTCACCAGTGTGCTCTAAAAGTGGTTTTGTTCTTTCAAGTTTTCAGTGAAATGGCAAACTTTGAGTGTGCAGTTTGACTGTTGGTAAAAGACCTTTCAGTATATTGATTTTCATTTTGCCTTTYTTTCCCCCCTCTAGTCATGGCCTTTTATTACAGCTGAGCTCTTGCATGGCTTTCATGATGATCTCAGTGGGATCTAAAGTAGTTTTTCTGTGTAAAATGTCTGCACTTTGATAACTGAGTTGGACTCTGGGATTAGAGTCTGCCCTTYCCCACAAGGATAATACAGGGAAGTTGTCATTTCCTCCTCTTAGGGTACAAGTCTCACGTTTCTGGTTCTACAGAGTTCTGGATCATCCACAAAGCACATGCTTTATCTTGTGCATATTTTAAGAAGGTTCAAGGCATAGGCTAAATKGTTTTCTTCCTGAATAAGCATTCATACTGGGGGAATTCCACATTCGTAGAAGGAAGGAGGACTTTTTTGTTCTCTTTTGTTTTATTCAAGGATTTGGAATATTAGGATTAGTCCAGGTGGCAAGTCATGAATGGATGGACAGTGTGAGCTGGCCAGATCTGATAGAGAAAATATTCATCAGAAGGGTACTATCTCCATCTRTTGGTCATGTGTGTACTATGTATCTGTGTGCTTTCCAGCTCCTGTTCTGTTCTGAGGCAAAACCACTCACCATTAAGTTTTAGCTTGAGGCAGACTGGGTTTTTCTGTTCTGCACAGTAAGCCTGACAAATCTCTTGTCATAGTTTTTTTTATCAGTCTTTTTATAGCAGGCTGTATATATTATTRAGCCTGGCCAAGTCCTGGTGCTGGTTTGCTGCTGTCACCGTGTCAGTGGCTCGTAAACATCCGATGAGTATTCGGGTGACAGCGCGCGTTTAACCGGCGCTGTTCGTTCTGTTCTCGTGTGACTTGTRAGCAGCTCAAGTGCATTTCCAGTGCTGCCTGCTGTTCCCATCAGTTCTCATTGGCCCCTTCCCCTGAGGCTGAGCTTTKGGGGGGTTAATATTATCCTGTCTTGCACAGGGATCTGGTGGAYGAAGCCAAAAACTACCTGCTGCTGCCCCAAGAGCGGCCGCTGATGCAGGGACCGCGAACGAGGCCGCGCAAGCCCATCCGCTGCGGAGAGGTGCTCTTTGCAGGTGTGTGTCTCTGCAGGTGTGTGTGTGGTGGCAGCAGGAAATGAAGAGGGTCTGGAGGGGTAAAATGAGGAGTGGATGAGGTCACTTGGTCTGTCCTGCCTGGAAGACACACTGAGAGGAGAGCTCAGTGCAGTTTACAGTTTCCTCGTGAGGAGGTGGGGCTGTCACTGATCTCAGCTCTCTGGTAACCTGCAATAGAACCAAAGAAATGGCATCAGGTTGGGTCAGAGGATGCTTAAGTTGGGTATTAGGAAAAGGTTTKTCACCCAGAGCAGTCTGGCACTGGAAGTCACTCCCCAGGACARAGGCCACAGYACCAAGCCTGACAGAGCTCAAGAAACGTTTGGACACTGCTCCCAGGCAGATGCTGGGATTCTTGGGGCTTTCCTGTCCAGGGCCAGGARCTGGACTTTGATCATGCCAATGCAGGATATTCTGATTCTATGTATTTTTCCCACTGGCTTGGACCAGGAGACTTCAGGCAGGATTTTCTGGTAGGGGTGTTCTCATAAAGTCAGTCTTCACAACCTGTTTCTGATGTGACCTGTGCATTAATATTTGGGGGTTTGAGTTAATTTACACTTTTTCCTTTCTGTGATTTCTTTGGTGCCGGGAATGCCACAGTATTTCCAAACTTTAGTTAATGTTCTTGAAAAATCACATTGTATTCTAACTACAAACCTCAGAAGGAGTTGACTTAGAGATGGGTTAAGGCTGGCAGAGTCCAAAGGGGTGATGTGCACCAGGAGCACGTGCAGTTTGTGAGCTCTCTGGGTGTTTTGTGACCCTGGTTTTGTGTTTGGCTGCAGTGGGAGGCTGGTGCAGCGGGGATGCAATTTCCAGCGTGGAGCGCTACGATCCCCAGACCAACGAGTGGAGGATGGTGGCTTCCATGAGCAAGAGGCGCTGTGGTGTCGGGGTCAGCGTCCTGGATGACCTCCTGTATGCTGTGGGAGGCCATGATGGCTCCTCTTATCTTAACAGTGTGGAAAGGTAGGTCTTCATTAGGCCCCCGTGCAGAATTTTACTCTGAACGTTTAAAGCTGGGTGCTGCCTCTTAGGAATGAGTTCATTTTCAAATGTGCTCTATTTTCCTCTTGCCTTGTACACCCCTGGTGCAAAACACTTGGTGTCACGTTATCCCCAGCTTAATGGGACAAGCCAAAGCCTCTGGTACAAGGAAGGAATAATTAGGAGATGGGTCTGGGTGTAATTGTYGGGAGGAGTGGTGATCCTGGTTAACCTTCTCTGCAACTGCGGGTTTGTTTTTAGCRTTGTTGAGGAAGGTGAGGTTACAGTGAGCATTTCTTAGATGCTGAAGGAAAGATCCTGGAATTTTATTGTGAAGTGGTGGCTAGAGAATTAAGGAGCCTTGGCACTTCGACAGGAGAAGGAAAATAGGTCAGTTTTAGGCTTGTGAAAGATTAAAGTGAAACAAGTTTTACCAAGCGTCCTTTTTCTAGGAGCTGCATAGGGCAGTTCCCATGCCTGAAATACACATGGYTTAAGCTTTCCTACTATTCTAAATMTTGGCCCTGTAACAAATGAGCTATACAAATATCCCACCTCGAGCCTCCCCTTCTTTCCACCTATCTCCTTGCACATTCTCAACTTCCCAAATCATGACCCTAGCCTTTTATCTCCCTCATCCTGCACTTCTCTGCTATGCACTGTATTTCTTTGTCTCTGGATTCCCAAGTCCATCTGGTTCCTTYATATTTTATCTACAAGTGTGGGTCCCAGTGGTGGCTGAGCTCCTGTGTGAGCTGCAGGGAACAGAGCAGAGTAACTCTGGCTGCTTTTCTTTGCTGCAAGTTACCACACGCCAGCCAGTCTCTCTCTCTCAGGAGCCTGAACCTTTGATCTTCAGCTTGAATCATCCCAATCTGCAGTTTCAACATCCCTGGAATAGCATGTACTGGATGCTATTCTATCACTTCAGGGCTTTTATCCAGCTTACAAAGAGCTGTGTGGCAGTTGAAGCTCAAGATAGGCAAGTTTCACAGCCTTAGTAGCTCCCAAGCATGGGAGAGTCTGAAAAGCAGACCCAGGCAAGTAATTTGTGCTGTTTGGTGTGTTTTTCCAGGTATGATCCAAAGACCAACCAATGGAGCAGTGATGTGGCTCCCACCAGCACCTGCAGGACSAGTGTTGGAGTAGCAGTTCTTGGAGGTTACCTCTATGCTGTGGGTGGCCAGGATGGTGTCTCGTGTCTCAACATTGTGGAAAGGTACTTTTTAATTACAAAAAGGAAAAAAAAGTGGGGCATAGGGTAAAAGAGGGTTTCTTCAAAGGTGCAGTTGATGCAGGCAAGCTGGAGAGGAGATAGGAACTGTACAAATCTTACAGAGACTTTTGTTTGGAGAGAATCAACTCAGTTTTCTTGTGTCTTTTGTGAAGATGTCAGCACTTCACCAAGCTCTGATGGTTGTTCTTTTGCCAGGTATGATCCCAAAGAAAACAAATGGACTCGAGTGGCCTCCATGAGCACCAGGCGCCTGGGAGTGGCAGTGGCAGTGCTGGGAGGCTTCCTCTATGCTGTGGGAGGTTCTGATGGAACATCCCCTCTCAATACTGGTATGCCTTTGCTGTTTCTTAATCTCAGTCAGTACTTGTCGTGATCCTCAGAGCCCTTCGTGTCCCCAGATGGCTKTTGAATAACTTAGCGATCAGTTTGAGGKTTTTTTTYYTTCTTTAAATACTATTYTGCCATACAATCAGTCACTYTCCAGGCTTGTGAGCCCCTATTACCTGGTTGTGTGTTGTATTTTTACTTTCTCAGTGCTTCATTTGGCAGCGTGTCCTGAATACAAGGCTTTGATCATTTGCATAGCAGTCGCAAGTGCAACTTTTTTAAAAATCTAATTCCTGCAGCAGCCCTTTTCTGCTGTAGGAAGGAAGGTGCCAAAGCTAAAAGCGTTGCCAGGTCAGTTTATAGCATTGCTAGCTGCCTCTTGAGTGAAGATTGAGTTTGACTGTGTGGGGCTGGAGACAGGAGGGAGACTAGCAAGAGTTCCTTGGAAGAAAAGAAAGAACAAACAGGTTCAGGGCATTTTTGATGTGTAGAAATCGAGTCCAAAAGTGCTGCCCCCACCCCCTGCTGACCCTGTTGTCCCAAGGCCTTCCTTTCCTCCGCAGTGGAACGCTACAACCCCCAGGAGAACCGCTGGCACACGATTGCCCCCATGGGCACGAGGAGGAAGCACCTGGGCTGTGCCGTGTACCAGGACATGATCTACGCCGTGGGAGGCAGGGATGACACCACGGAGCTCAGCAGCGCCGAGAGGTACAACCCACGCACCAACCAGTGGTCTCCCGTGGTGGCCATGACGTCCCGGCGGAGCGGAGTGAGTGCGCCTTGGTGGGCTTGTGTGTGCCATGTGTCACAGGGCAGGCTGTCATTGTCACGTGTGTGGGGAGAGCACAGGGCAGGCTGTCATTGTCACGTGTGTGGGGAGAGCACAGGGCAGGCTGTCATTGTCACGTGTGTGGGGAGAGCACAGGGCAGCTGTCACTGTCACCGTGTGGGGACAGCACAGGGTGCAGCGTTCCTCATCAGGTTCTCCTGTTTTCCCTGTGTCGCTTCACCTCTTTTCTGTGAGGGAAAAAGGTCACAGAAAGCTCTCTAGGGAATGAACCAGTAGCCAAGTCATGCCATAGACGACTGTTTAGGGTCTGTCAGGGGAAGTGGGGTCATTTGAGGGTGTTTTAAAATATTTTGGTCCCTTCTATGCAGTCAACTAAGCTTGAAGCAGAGGAGCTTTTAGGAGATGTAGCCATACTTGGTGTGAGATACCATTAAAGAATGCKATCAGAATTAGTACCTGGATCTCTTTGGATGAGTTTGGAGGTGAAAACACCCACTTGCCCAAAGGAAAAAGCTGAGAAACTGAGTAAACATGTTTTTAGATATRTATTTCCAGCAGACTCTTTGCCTTGAGGTGTGTGTGGGAACAGGGATCCTGGGTTTTCACTGAGGCTGTTGCCTCTCCTCACCAAATCCTGTGAGTGACAGCAAGTTCCCATCAACTGCTGATTGTGGTGCTCTCTTGCGAACAACAGATTACTGCAGTGTTTGCAGTAGTCATCATGTTTGGGCAGATGCAAATGATATGAATATTTATCATTGGATATGGGATTTTAGACTTAAGAGAGGATTAGTTCTATCTGTGTGTTAGTGTTTTGGTGTCTGATGAGGCAAGTATGAATCACAGTTTGAGCAACTACTGGCTTTGAAGGCAGAAAACACGTATTTCTGTTCTCCAAGCATACAGGTATGCTGTCCAACACTGTCCACTGTWGTTACTGATTAGGCATTGACTTTTTATCAGCTGCTCCTGTATTTGCCTTCTGTAGAAACTGCTAAACAGGTTCATCTGTATTTTCAGCCCTCCTGAGTTTTCTGACTTCCTCAAAGCCAAAACAAGGACCATTTTACATTGTGCACCTTCCCTTTTCTCTGTTGTACTCCATGTTTTCCACTGGACGTGGTCATTTTTTGATGTTTCAGTGATTTTGTGCTTCTGCAGAAAGGCTGAATAGAAAGTCTGGAGGGTAAGGTGTTTACAGATGGTCTAAGTCCCAGCCTGAGAAGTTTGGGACCAGGGTTTTACCTGTGCTTCTGCTACTTTAAGCAAGTGGGCTGGTAGATATTCTGGTGCATACATGTCACACTCAGGGAAGAATTTCAGTCCAGAGCATAAGTTTTATATGAAAAAAGTCTAGACTCTCATGTATTTATCATCATTCAAATGGTACTACTTCTTGTAGCTGGCAATAAAGGGAACCTTCTTTGAGAGGTTTCTTTTTTTTTTTGAGATACTTTCCGTGTCTCGTTTTTTTAGGGTATTTTATTTGTGCCACACCCTAAAGAAAAAAACCCCAACCCTTTCCTGCAGACTGCTTTTCACCAAACATGGTTATTAAATCCTTTCATTACTATTTTCATTTCAACCCTATCTTTTCAGGACATCCCAGCTAAGTAGCTGCTGTCTGATGGCTGTTTTGCAGGTTGGCCTGGCTGTGGTGAATGGACAGCTGATGGCAGTGGGGGGATTTGATGGCACAACGTACCTGAAGACCATCGAGGTGTTCGATCCAGATGCCAACACGTGGAGGTAAYTGGAGTCTGTGAGAAAATCAAATTGTGAAATCCAGCTGGGAGCTGTCCCAGGCAAATTAGGGGTTGGTACACACCGTAACAGAGAACTCAGGTGTGGTAGAGTCAGCACAACACTCACCTTGTGGCTTGTTGCCTTGCGTGAAACTGTAAGAAATAATCACATTTTGAAAAGCATCCCAATATGCCCTTTTGTTCATTTTGGGTTGAGTCTCTCCTGCTTCCCAGTAAAACTGAGCTTGTCCTTAGCAGAAGGAACTCACATTTACCAAGTAGAAATTGGCCTGTTCACCTCTTGCTTTCAAGCTGAGGCAGTGATTTCTGAATCCTTTTGGAAGAGTGGAAACACTTCAAGCATAGGATGTTATTCCCCTTTAAGTCAGAAAGATTCAGCCACTGGAAGAATGTCCAAGCTGAGACAAATAATACGAAAACGTTGGTCCAAAATATGTACTAATCAGAAAAGAAAGAGGAAAAATAGCTTTTCTAGTCATAACTAAACTTGAAAACAGTTGCTTGTATATTTATTCCCAAATCTAGCTTGCTTCTCCCATTTCTGCCAGCAGACTCCAGTGGCTCAGAGGGGGATATGCAGCTGGAGTCTGTAGGGATCCGATATCCATATGAAATGTAGACACCATTTCAGTAAACAGATGGTGCTTGGGATGTGTTATATCTTGGTTGGATCAGCTGAAATGTAGGGGTTTAGAAATATAAATTAAATTAGTCTAATTGTGAGGACTAAGCCTAGTCCTGTGTTACCCAAAACATAGCCTAAGGTAGGCTACAAAGTTTTTTTTCTATCTTGCACATTACCACACAGGGAGAAGGAAGTATTTATTTCAATGACAGAGGTTTGGTGTCGAAACAAGCAGCAGTTTTTGTTCTGATGGAGAAAGGCATGAGCAAATATCGCTGTTTACTCTTGAAGTGTGTAAGAGGGGTGCTACCTATCTTCATGGCCCACTTTAAGCAGACATTAATGATGGTCTAATTGTGCTCACATGGGCTGGTTCAGTCTTTCCCATGGCAGCTCCCAAGGGYTGGTGTCCCCATGGAGGATGTGATCCAGTGTGTGACCCTGGAATGTTGTCTCCACAGGTTGTACGGTGGGATGAACTACAGGCGGCTGGGCGGAGGCGTGGGAGTTATCAAAATGACACACTGTGAATCCCATATATGGTAAGCTTCCACAGGGAGGGAGTCCCCTGGCTTCTCATTCCTAGAAAAACTGAAGAGACTTGTTGACACTGGACCTCTTTGCAGCTCTAGTATGCACGGTCTAGATCCGATGTAACTCTTTACCGGTGAACTGTTTCTACGGAATTATAAAAATGAATTATGTGAGAGTGTGCCCAGCGGGAGACCACGTTGTCAGGCTCCAGGGAACCACTGGACAAAAGTAGAAGTATTGCTTATGTCCGTATTTTTTCTAAATAGTTCTACATTTTTTGAATAAACCAAACTGTAACAGTTATTGTAGCGTAAAGGATGCTGATGTAGAGCCTACACTCTGTACTGGGAGTCTGGCCAGGAGGAGGGATTCCTGCTTTCTCTCCTGCTGTGGGAGCAGTGGATGTGGCAGCTGTTTGGTGGGCGAAAAAGTGATACAGAAAACATTGCTTTTGCCTTATTTACAGAGAGCTTCAAAAAAAAAAGTACTTGACCTGCAAGGTGCCACCTTTGCACAGAAGCTTTTCTGTGCGCAGAGTATATTTATTTTTTCATTTGATTTGTATCATGTATTTCCTTTGTATCGCTCACAGCGATGATTCCAGCTTTTTATATACATCTCTCTGTGTGCATATATATATGTATTTTATACATATATATGTATTTGTGTGATTTGCATTTTGACCAGCTGGTGGTTTGGGCAGGGTTGTGTCCTGCCAGCTGTTGTRGTTCCAACCCTTGTGGTATCATTTGGAGTCTCTTAGAGGACAGGAGAGCTGTGAGGATCTTTGCAGAACTGGAACTCTAAACTCTCGACTGAATCAGTGAAGTGCCCAAAAAGGGTGAGAGAAAAAGGATTTCAAACAATGCCTTTTTACTGTACAAAAGTCCAGCTTCTGTCTCTCCTCTCCCCTGTACATAAACTGGTGCTGGTTTGAAGGTAAACCAGCAGGAGGAATTAACCCCCACACAAACACCTTATGAGAGATTTCAACTCGGAGTTAGAATTTAATAGGAGGATTACAATAAAGGCAATTAATACAGAAAGACTGGTTTAAAACCAACAGAGTACAACCTGACACCCTGTTGGTCAGGGTGGTGGCTGCAGTCCYGYTGRAGTGGTGGATGTGGTCCTGTGGGAAGGTCTGGTCCTTCTCTGGATGTCCAGTGGTGTGGTGGTTGTGTCCAGGTCCCCAAGCCCCTAGATTCTACACCCTCAAAATCCAGGAATTCCAGGCAGGAATGTTCAGTCCCTCCCCCAGAGTGGGGAATTTCCCAATGGAATGGTGTAATCCACCATAGGATGGTGTATCCACCAATGGAATGGTGTAATCCTCTGAGTCATAGGATATTTGGGGGAGTCCTTGATGGCCCCTTGGCAGAGATGACCCCCTTTAGGCTGGGTGTAGTTGTCAGGTGAAGACAGAGAACGCTGCACCCAGCTCACAGCTGTTAGAAACAGCCCACCATTGACAGATTGCATCAGGAATAATGCAGATGGGTATGAAATACATAATTTGGCTCCATCCAAACTGGTACTCTTTCTCCTATAATCATGACATTATTCACCACTTATTCTACAGCATCTACATCATGCCCAAATTAACATATTTATTTATACACATATGTGTATACAGTGAAACATTACAGACTGTTCTCACCCAGAATTAGGTCTCCTTGAGGTTCACAATGGGTTTCCCCATCTTTCTGCATCACCCACCAAGTGTACCCAGATCCTTGAGCAAAATGATCCCASAGATGGGTTTGCTTTTGCCTGAGGTGGATTAATCCAAACAGCCTTTCCTAACATACCTCTCATATGTGCCGCAAGGATTGTACCTACACCTGCAAATATGCAAGGGTTTAGACTGAGCAGGACCAGGTTGATTCAAGGACCACCTTGAAGCCTCAGGTGTTGACCATCCACGTGGCCTTTGGTAAATGCAGCTCCCAATTTTTGAAGGTCCCCCTGCCCAGTGCCTTCAGGGYGGTTTTAAGCAGTCCATTGCACTGTTCAACGTTCCCAGCAGCTGGTGCATGATAAGGAGTATTGTACGCGCACACTAAACCGTGTGCTGTGGCCCGGTGTCTATGAGGCTGATTYTGAAACAAATCCCGTTGTCCAACTCAGTTCTTTTAGGGGTGCCATGGCTCCACAGGTCTTGCTTTTCCAGGCCCAGGATGGAGTTCCGAGCAGTAGTGCGAGGCATAGGGTACGTCCCCAACCATCCAGTGGTTGCCTCTACCAYGATCAGCACGTAGCGCTTGCCTTGGCTGGTTTGGGGGAAGGTGATGGAACTGATCTGCTGGGTCTCCCCATACTGACATTTGGACTATTGTCCACTGAACCACAGAGGCTTCACCCTCTTGGCCTGCTTGATTGCAGCACACCTCTTGTAGTCATGGATGACCTGTGAGATACTGTCCATGGTTAAGTCCACCCCTCGGTCATGAGCCCATCGGTACATTGCATCTCTTCCCTGATGACCAGAGGMATCGTGGGCTCAACGAAGTAGAAATAATTCTCCCTTGTGCAGCCAGTCCAGATCCAGCTGTGATACTGTAACCTTGGCAGCTCGATCCACCTGCTTGTTGCGCTGTTCTTCATTGGCCTGACTCTTAGGTGTGTGTGTGTCTATGTGATGGACCTTTGTGGTCAGCTTCTCTACCCAGGCAGCGATGTYTTGCCATATCTCCGTGGCCCACATGTGTTTCCCTCTGTGCTGGGAGTTGGTCTTTCTCCAACAATCCAGCCATCCCCACCATCCATGAGTCAGTGCAGAGAGAGAGCCCTGTCCACTTCTCTCATTCAGTGATAACCAAAGCCAGCTGGATAGCTTTGAGCTCTGCAAGCTGTCTTGATCCTGCTTGTYCCTCAGCAGCTTCTTGCCAGGTGGGGTTCCATGCAGTAGCTTTCCATTTCTGATTTGTCCCTACAATTCAGCAGGAACCATCAGTAAAGAGGGTGCATTCCTTTAAATTCCATGGTAGTTGGTTATAGGGTGGGGCCTCCTCAGCATGTGTCACCTACTCCTTGAGAAGGTAATCCAAAATTCTCACCTTCGGGCCAGTTTGTTATGATTCCAGAATCCCAGAGCAATTAGGATTTCCTATCCGGGCTCGCTGTGTGATCAGAGTGATCCACTTGCTCCGTGTTGCAGTGGTGGCATGATGTATGGAAGGAGCCTTTCCCTTGAACATCCAGCCCAGCACTGGCAGTCGGGGTGCCAAAAGCAGCTGTGCTTTGGTGCAATCACTTCTGAGGTGGCTTGAACCCCTTCATAGGGTATGAGAATCTCAGCTGGGGTATAGCTGGCCTCAGATCCTTTGTATCCCGAGTCCAGAACCCCAGCAGTCATCCTCAGAGAAGGAGGATGGACTCCCCAGGTCCCTTTTGCCAGAGGCTCCAGGATGGACCATTTTCCCTTGCTGTAGTGTGGAGCACATTTTTTATATCCTGCCATACAGGCAGAGAAAGAGGCAGAGAAGACAAAGCAAAACTAACAAGAAGGTTATGCCATTTTTAACATCCAGAGGGAGCTCAATGTTTTCAATAGGCTGYCTGAGGCCTGAAAGGCTGGAAGAAAACATTTTCTACTCTTCCCCCTTGGGCCGGGTGTGATTATTAATGGCACACCAGAGACAGCAACCCAACTAGGAAAGGTGAACAAAAATGAATATACGTTCTGAATGAGGTTCGTTGCCTCTGAAATTATAATGCAATAGACATAATAAATCATCAAAGCAATTTTCATACCACTCTGTGACCTCAAAAGTAGCATCACAACCAGCAAATAGTTCCCCATGTGTGGAAAAATATAGAGAGCAAGGTACAACATCCCTGTAAATATATCGAGCATCATGGTGAATAGGCAGTTTCTGCAACACAAAATTGTAACTCTGACTTCTCTYRGGAGGMTTCACRTTGGGTGCCAAAATATGTGCTGGTTTGAAGGTAAASTAGCAGGAGGAATCAACCCCACACCAAAAGCTTGTGAGAGGTTTCAAGTCGGAGTTACAATTTAATATAAAGATTACAATAAATGCAATGAATACAGAAAGACTGGTTTAAAACCAACAGAGTACAACCTGACACCCTGTTGGTCAGGGTGGTGGCTGCAGTCCTGTTGGAGTGGTGGATGTGGTCCTGTGGGAAGGTCTGGTCCTTCTCTGGATGTCCAGTGGTGTGGTGGTTGTGTCCAGGTCCCCAAGCCCCCAATTCTACACCCTCAAAGTCCAGGAATTCCAGGCAGGAATGTTCAGTCCCTCCCCCAGAGTGGGGAATTTCCCAATGGAATGGTGTAATCCTCTGAGTCATAGGATATTTGGGGGAGTCCTTGATGGCCCCTTGGCAGAGATGACCCCCTTTAGGCTGGGTGTAGTTGTCAGGTGAAGACAGAGAACGCTGCACCCAGAAACAGTCCACCATTGACACAGCTCATCAGGAATAATGCAGATGGRTATGGAATACATAGTTTGGCTCCATCCAAACTGATACTCCTCCTGTAATCACTACAGAACCTAAAAACAACTGGTTGTTGCTCACTTCTAAAAGCCTTTTTCCTCCTGTTGCCTGCTTGATATCAATTCTTGCCTGAAGCAGGGTGCAGGTATCATCTGTTAATTCTGACATCCACTTCTTGTGTTTTGGCTGGAAGGGCAGACCCGCAGCCAGCTCCTTCCTGCTGAAAAATGCTTAGATCAGCCTCACTTCAGCTGCCTCTTGTGTCTGTAGAATTCCTGACCATGATGAGTGTGGCCTCTCTTTGCGTGATTTTTGTGCACTTTGCCTGTGTATGTTTAGAGCAGGGAAAGGTGTGAGGTTCATTAAAGAGTTTGAATAGGAAGGGCTGTTTGCTGGCACTGSAATTGTGGAGGCACCCAGAAGTGGGGGGAGAAGAGGAGAGAACTCAAGACTCAACAATTCTGTTTGTACTGTAATTTCTAYTGAGTATGGACCTTTTGCACCTGATCAAACTGTGGACCTTACTAAATCTGATTTTAAAAAAGAGGACTGTAAATTCCTGAAATGAAAAAGGCAGTGCTGACATCTTGAGTTCTTTAACTTCATAGTTTGATTCATGTAATTCAGACTTTAATGTGCTTAAATATAGTAAAAAATACACTACCGTCATAAATGGGACATTAAAACTTTTTTAATAGCCCCTTTCCCCCTAAAGGTTGGTATTCTTGTGTTTACATGAAGATCATTTTGCACCTTTACAAGGAAAACAAGTATTCTGTAAACAAATGTTTACATGTATCATTTATGCTTTTTTCTAGCATGAGTAACTTGTATAAATAGTGCTATCTTAATAAATTTCTTCTATGCTGTTCTTGGTTTCTTTCTTGGGGTGAAAGCAGTGGGGGGCATGTTTTTCTATGGTTTATGTGGACAAAGATGCTGGAGGTTTTCTTCCGATAAGTCCAGGTAAAAGACTTAAAACTTTGTTGTTTATTTTTACCCTTCACATCACTCAGAACCAGCTTTTTCTGGAAGGAAGCATCTGTGCTATCTGRCCAGATCTTACCTATGCTCACGTAACTGCATTTATCAATGAGGACAACACAAGGAGAGGTTAAAACTGAGTTTTTTAGAAATTATTTATACAAATTCATTGGAAAGAGCTGAGCATTAGATTTAAAACCAAACCCTGGGTGTAACAGTCCTGTTTTCAAATCAAATACAGGTGCCAGTTATTTCCAGACGTTGTACTCAGTGCTGCGCTCTTCTGACTCCAGACAGCACACTTTGTCTGAGATATTTCAAAAAAGGAAACTAAAGCACCAGAAGTGATAGTTTAAGTAGTTGCAGTGCTGCCAAGACCTTCAGAAGATCACTTAGCTGCCTCTACCGGGGTAAGAGTCACCACAGAATGCAACCTTAACATGCAAAAATAATCCACTTTCAAAYAGTAAACAATCTGAAACCAAGTGCATGTTTCTTTGTCTAATTTTGGAAAAAGGTTAGGAAGTAGGCATGCAGTTATGTCATGTTAGGCAGCTTTACACTGGGAAAAGAAAGGAAACATGCATTCCTATTTAGGAGAAGGCCACAGCACAAATCAGCTCCAAGAGATGCTGCAGAATTGTGAAGCAAGAAAATAAAACTTGAAATTTTGCTGCTCACAGAATTATTTAATAGATAACAAGTGGTGGTTTGGTCAGGTAAGCTATAGTTGGAGATAAGCTTCGTGCAAGAATGTATTTAATTAGACATAGATGGTCTGTCCTTAAGACAAAAGATGGAAAATACTTTCTTTATTTAGTACTGTATTACAAGAAGTCTTAGCAGGTGCAACTTTCTGCTACTTAAATGTCTAGCCAAGTGCTGTACACCATCCCTCTGAACTCTTACCTGCTCCAGAAGGAAGGAATCCAACATAAAATTATAGCACACAGCTCCAACCCTGAGAGCTCTCTGGCCCACAGGATTACATCCAAGATTACAAACATCAGGACAAAGCCTARTAACTGTCAAGCATATCCACTTAACTATCTATCAACTTGCCTGAGAAGACCAACAGGCTGACAAGTGCCTTGTTTCCAMTCTCATGCCCAACTGGAACACAAATGAACATTATTACCAAGTACCCTTAGCAAGCTAAGAAGGGAATTAGCAACCTGGATTTTTCTGCCCTGGATTGCAGAGTATGTACCCTTTCTCAGGTGTGCTGAACTCTGCATTTAAAGTAACCCAAGAGTAGTCACAGTTCAGCCAAGGCCAAGGTCTGTATAGCTTAGGCTGTCCAGTGGAAACCAACTTGCTCTTTGAAACAACAGAAATACCTGTCAGAAAGTTGATCAAGAGTTTTCATTGTCTCTGAGCTGATAACCTGCACATAAATGAAGTGACTGAGAAAACAAACTGGTCATAGARCTGTCACAAGTTTGCATTGCAGCCCTGTCTTCAGGGCAGTGTGCTTGGCTTYGCTGTTACACAGCCCAAGTGCTGGAGTTACACCCCAGCTCCAAACAGCCCGAAGAGAGGAAAGATCCTGCAGGAGTGAATTTCATGGTGATTTCTCAGCACACTTGGTTCAACGGGAAGCCTTTTTAGCATGAAGAGTTACTGAAATAGCTCTCACTGTATCTGAGAGACTGCAAGTTCAGTCAGTATCATCAGCACTCCAAGAAGGTATTGGCTGTGTAGAAGCTGCAAGAAAGGGAAAAAAGCCTGTCAAAACAACAATTGTAGTTGCCAGATTTCCACACCCTGAAACCCTGAAACCCTGGTTGGAAGGAAACTACCAAGTGTACYGTGTGTTTAGTCAGCTGCTCAGTTGTTGCTTTTCAGGTAGGTACCTATACTTTTCTCATACTGAATATGTATGRCTTGAACTCTATCCCCATTATGAAAAGTCATAATTGAATTTACACAACACCTATTCCACAAGTGCACCCTTCAGAAAGCCTGAGATATCCCTGTGTTCTAGCTGYAACAGAAAAAGTTGTTTGAGACAATTTTAAGCTATTACAGATAAAAACAGGCAATGTAACACTACCATGTGCCAAGGCTCATCATAGGCTAAATTTGAAATACTGCACTTACACAAACTGTTCTTTAACTCAGAAAAAAATACTGYATTGCTTGAAGGATTAATGTGTCATGGTTTGAAGCATTTTATACATACCTCTGTAGAAAAACCAGCACCTTTATCAAAAGGGTTACATGTAAAGGAATCTTGTGCCTGTGTCTTAATACTAGAAAGCTAGTGAACTTCTTTTAAAGCTTTGTAATTAAGTTTGGGATCTTTTTAAATCCAAAAAACGGTTTTTATGGCTTAAGAAACTTTCCTGTTCATACCAAAGCTAATACACCTATTTCTGGCCCAAGACAAATAGCTTCTGCTGCAACACAGCAGTACAAYACTGTACTGGCAGCTGCCCCAACTCCAGAGCTAAGTATGATTAGTAAAAGCTGAGGTTTAACAACTCCTTGTAGGAAATGATGCAAAAGAAACACGAGACCTTCAGATATAGCTATCTAATTTGGCCAGCATTAGGACAACCTGCTACTTAGAGGCTCACCTTCACAATCCCATCACAGTGTGCCGAGGCAACTGCTGTCGAAACCTTGACTAGCTTTGCAGCTGACAGGTGGATCTTGAAGTGCCTGTGGAAGTGCGARTAAAGGCAGTCCATGAACACATCCACCTCCTCCTGAGTGATCTCTCCCGGTGTTTTTTGGACCGTGTCCCACAGCTCTTTGGCATCCTCTGGGTGGATGGCATATGAAATATCCAGGGGCTGGAGCAGGCGGGGCACGGAGAAGATGAGTTCCACAGCAGAGGCAGCTCTGTCCAGCTTGCTGCCAGCCCACATGGCCACCAKCCAGCTGAGGTTCAGGGGGCTGATGGCCAGGCGGCGGAAACAGCAGTCAAAAGTCTTCTGGAACCACCTTCCAACCATGGACGTGTAGCTCTCGGCCCCGTGGGTCAGGAACAGGGGCAGACAGGTGAAGCCCTCCAGAACATTCTCGGAAAGGTCATCTCCAAAAACAGAGCAGAAACAGCCCGACCACACCAGTTTGTCTTCAGAGCTCCTGGAGGAAGCTCGTGACCTCGAAGAGAGCTGGGATGGAGGGAAGAAGCATTTGAATGCTGCAGAGCAAGTACAGATTTTTTTTTTCTTTTCAGCTAAAAATAGATTTTGATTTATAGTTTTAAGTGTTTGGTAGAAGTGAGGTTTTTTTCAGGACCTTGGATGCAGCACTGTTTTTTATAAAACACATACAGTTATTCAGTCCATCCGTTACATCCCTAGAATGTAATTCTGTTAAAAACAGCAGAAAAGGCACTTTCAACTTCCTTAGGAACAGTCCTGAGATCTGAGTTTAGAAAAGCTGCTTAATTCCATGGTATATCCTACAACCATTGCCACCATGAACTTGACATTTGAGTACCACATTTCACTTGAGACAAAGCATTTCAGAAATATTAATTAGACCGGARCTCTGGCCAGGAAGTGGGATTATGCCAGTTTTATCCAGGAAGTTAAATAACCTGTTCAAGTCCTGGCAGTAAATTGAYTGCTAAACTGAAACGTTAGACAGAGATTGCTCTGCATGGTCTTATTCTGATCCTGTTGAAGGGTTGAACTCCAATTTGCAATTAACTGTACACATTGCTTAGGGGATGATAGAATCAATTAGGCTGGAAAAGACCTCCGAGCTCATCGAGTCCAGCCTGTGACCAAACACCACCTTGTCATTAGACCAGGATTTTGACTGTGTCACATCCAGTCTTTCCTTAAACACCTCCAGGGACGGTGACTCCGCCACCTCCCAGGGCAGCCAATTCCAATTCCAATGTCTAATCATCCTTTCTGTGAAGAAATTCTTCCTAATGTCCAACCTAAACCTCCCCTGGTGCAACTTAAAACTGTAATACTCTGTTCCAGTTAAAATAGACAGGACTCAGTTTCATTAAATCACAGTGTATAGTACAGTAGTTGTTCCATACAGCTAGGGTTTAGATCTGGGGTTTTTTTAAGAGACGGAGCGTTTTATCACTGCAAAACCAGTGAAAATGACCAAACCCCCCGAAATCCCTCACCTGCACGAGGACGGCAGGCTGGTCCTGCTCGCTGCCCCGGAGCTCGGCGATGCTGGACACGGTCACCCTGATGTCCAGCTCGACACCCACCTCCACCGCCAGCCCCTTCTGCTTCTCGGCGGCGATGAAGGCGCTCAGCAGCCGCGCGTARTCCCTGAGGCGGGCGCGGTGGAAACGGTACAGGGGGGTCACGCTGTACAGCGTCCAGGCTTTGCGCAGCAGAAACGCTGTTTTCTGCGGATCGACGATTTCCTGAGGTGGTGGTGGTGGGGAAAATAATAAAAAAAAAAAATTTAAAAAGCGCATAAGGTTAAAGCCCGTGYTTCCCGCGCGGGGAGAGCGAGGCAAGCGGGGTGAGGGGACAGGGAATAGACAAGGGTGGCGCCGCCGCCCCCGCTTCCCCGGTCCCACCGTACCTGCGAGCTCGGCACCGGCAGGACGTAGCGGCCGCTGGGGCTGATCCCGAGGCGGCCGTGGCCCCGTCCGAAGGGCAGAACCTGGGAAAGCCGCAGGGTCCGCGTCCCGCCTTCCTCGGCCGGCTCGTCCGCCATGGCCGCCATCGCCCGCCGGCGCCGTTCGAACCGCCTCCCGTCAGCCCCCGCGCGGGGCCGCGCCTCCGCCGCCATCTTTGAGGCGGGCGGCCTGAGGGCAGGAGGCGGTGGCGGCGGTGTTTGCTTTCCCTTTTTCCCCTCCGGAGCCCTTGTTTTTCCCTTCCTGCAGGGCGGTGGCGCTCTTCCCGTGTTCYTGGATGAGGGGCGGCTGCGGGATGGCGCTTCCCCGGCTGCTGGCGCGGGCTCTGCACCGGGCGGCCGCCACTCCAGGTGAGGAGGGAGCGTTGGTCTTATCCCCGCGGGAATGGCGTTCCTTTTCTTCCGGGGTACAGGTCAGGGTATCCACACCGTCGATTAGTGTCACCCTTGGGGCAAGTTATTTTCCCTGTATCACTTAATAAGTGCTTTCTCTAAATCGCTTTTAATTTTGAAGGCTGTGATGAAGGTAGTGAAATTGGCTCCTAGAATTGCTTATACATGACTAGGTCATGACATCCTTTAGGCTTCTCCTTGCGAGCTGAACCTTTTGCCCGTTCTGTAAATGGTGTGCTTGGTTCTATAACTAAGGCCATGATTACAGGTACACGGGGGTCTATGCAAAGCGTTCTGTAATCGTGGTTCAAACCTTTTTCCAGGAGTTTCAAGCAGAAACTGTTCAGTTTTCACCTGCGTGGGTGGTGTGTTTGGCTCTTGGTTTGCCAAGCCCCTTCCAGTTCTTGTGTCTCCACCAGGAACTGCAGTGACAGGATATGGTAGAGTGGCTTCGAACTGAAGGAGGGGAGGGCAGGTTTAGATTATATATTAGAAAGAAATTATTTGCTTAGAAAGTGAAGCACTGGACAGGATGCCCAGAGGAACTGTGGCTGCCCCATCCCTGCAAGCGTTCAAGGCCAGGTTGGATGGGGCTTGGAGCAGCCTGAGATAGTGGAAGGTGTCCCTGCCCGTGCCAGGTGTTGGAACAAGATGATCTTCAAGGTCCTTCCATCCCAAACTGTTCTATGATTCTATGACTCTGGATTTAAATGTGGAATGGTCAGCATCCCTCAGGATTGATCTGTGGCTTTTCCCTCCCTTGCTCCTGAAATTTACAGGGCAACACCATCAAGGCTGTGTTCTAATACTGTTACAAAAGTTAGAAACATAAATAATTCCTGTATAAAATGCATTTATACTAGCTTYACTTCATGTTTGTGACATARTGTCTTAGTGCAGATCTATCTGTGRAGTAATTTCTCTGTATATGTCTAAATTGTATTGGGAGGGGAAACTAYTGATTATTCTGCCTCATCTGCAAAAGCCATGAGTGATTTTTCTTTTTTAATTCAAGACTTCAACAGTTTTGTTACTCGGACCAACACATGTGGAGAGCTGCGTTCTGCTCACGTGGGACAGAAGGTGACCCTGTATGGATGGGTTCAGTATCAAAGGTAAGTGCAAACCATAGTGAAAATGGAGATGATTATTTGCCAGAGCCATTATAAGCTGTTTTCCATCCAGCATTGCTCTCCAATGATGGTCTGCATGGGCTTTTTAACTGTTTTTTTGAGTGTGGATTGTTCATGTGGAACTTTTTATGGGACAAGTGTTCTCCTTCTTGCCTTATGATTGGGTTTTTATTCTTTGTATTCCACATGAAGTTCAGTTTTATTGCTCATTTAACTGTGTTTTGCTGACTGATGTTTCCCAGCAGGAGAATGCATGTGTCCAGAATCCCTGCTCTGTGTGCATTAAAGTTTAAGTTAAAATCCTCCCTCTCCTGGTTATTTACACATTGTCTGTGTCACAGTCTGAAATGAATTTTTGAGGTTAGGTTTAGGTGTGGGAAAAGTGTCTGTAGGTTCAGTACTTGGAATGAGTTGCCAAGACACTGAAAGTGTAGCCAGGAGCCATATGCTTTTAAAAGTAGAAACCTACTAAATGAGTAAAAAAATGTTTCTGCTTTTGTGTTTTTCATGGATCAGACAAGGCTTGTTTCTGGTTTTGAGGGATTTCCAGGGACTGACCCAGATCATCATTCCTCAGGATGAGGTAAGTGSTGCCAAAACATGAGTCTGTGTTTTAATTTTAATTTTGGTGGCAGAAGGAAGGGCTTTGCCAGACCAAGTGCTCTCCCTTACAAGTAGACTGAAGTGTTATGAGATCCCTGACCTGACACTGCAACAGAAACATCAGTGCTGTTTCCTCTGGCTTCAGAGTGATTTTGGATTGAGGTGCTTGGCTGCAGTGCATTTGTCCTGTTGTTTGAATTTCTGTGAGACTCTGTCCTCTCCCTGTAGGCACATTCCCATGTGAAGGAGCTCCTGTCCAGTGCCCCRGTGGAGTCTGTGGTGCGAGTGACTGGGACAGTGTCCCCTCGGCCCCCGGGGCAGGAGAATCCGGTGAGGATGGGGGCGACTCTCAGGGGTTTTATTCCTTGGAGGAAACAGCACTGGATAGTGGGATTATGGTGGGGTTTGTGTCAGAGTATTGCCAGGGGTTCTGGTTGTGTGAGGTGAAATAATTGCTGTCATATCACAGGAGAATCTCAAAGCACATTGCAGGCACCCACAAATCAAACTCGATCCCATCCATTTACAGGCTTTACTTTTCTAGGCTTTTTCAGGCTTTCAAAGTGTGGGTGAGAATTTCTTTTCCTTGAAAATAAATAATTGTCATTTCAAGTTCCACAACTGGTTATTGATTTTGCTGGCCTCTTTGTATAGGAAACAGAGGTTGAATAATTTTTTTAATGTTCTGCGTTTCTCAGCTGCCTCTGTAATCAGCTGTAGACTGATCTTTCCGGAATGTACACATAACTGGCAGGTCTAAAAAGAGGACGTGTATTTATGATCAAAGCTCCCTTTTGCACTGTCCACTTGTAGATGTTCATTAAGAATTCAGGCTTCAAGCCATGCCTTTATTTCTTTCATTCATTTATCATTTTGTTGGGAGGTTGCATTTCCTTTCCCCTGGTAAACAGCAGAGTTCTACAGGATCAAGTGAACTTTGCTGTGCCTCAGTGCTACGTGAGGGGAGCTGTCTGCCCTCCCTTGGGATAGAGTCAAAAGAAGACTAGTTCTGAGAACTGGTGTTTAGAAATGGAAGTTCTGAGAAGCTCCTCACAATTTCCTTTTTTTGACTCATATTAGGGCTGCTGCTGCCCATGCTCGCTGAAGCTTGCACTGTGTGGTTTTGCTGAGGTTAATGGCACTAGTATTTTATTCAAATGTGCGTGCCCTAAAAGGTCCCATGCCTGATTTTCCTCTGCTTAGCCWGTCCTTTGAGGAGAAAGCACAGGAAAAGTAATTGTATTTGGAGACCAGGACGCTACTAGGAAAGGATCTGCCATCTTTGATGAGGTGACTTGTGTTTTTCTGAACAGAAGGGAAATCTAGAAGAAATCCGTCCTTGAGAGAAGCTCTCTAACTTATATTTTATGTTAGAAGGCAGGGAGGGTAATCTCATGGTTTCTTTTTTCCYTTTGACCATCTGTGAAATACTTTTGTCCAACTGTTTAATATTTTTTTTGCCTTTTTGTTCTAGAAAATGCCAACAGGGGATATTGAAGTGAAGGCAGAGACTGCAGAGATCCTAAACTCCTGTAAGAAGCTGCCTTTTGAAATCAAGGATTTTGTTAAGGTGTCTGTGTTTTTCTTTTCTTATCAAGGTTTTGGCTTTTCATTAAATTGGGAATTTGCCTAGGGTGATGGCAAAACATCTGAGAGCTGAGTCTTGTTCTTCCTGCTTTGCTTTGGGGGCATGATGGTATTTAAAATAGGGGTGCTGTTTGTTTGCTGTGAGGATCTATTCCYATTTAGAGCTAAGCAGAAAACAAGGCTTGAATGACTCCAGACTTCAAATAGCACTGGAAGAATTGATGGCAAAGGGAAGAGTGAAAGAAATAGGGCTATGCTGGGTTTTTTGAGTGTGAAACAAGAGGCTGTTTTATTTGACTCATGGAATCACAGAAGGGTTTTGGGTGGAAGGAACYTTAAAGGTCCTCCTGTTCCAAACCCCCTGCCATGGGTAGGSRTGCCRCCYACTGGAYCAGGTTGCTCAGAGCTCTAKCCAGCCTGGCCTTGAACACCTCCAAGGAKGGGACAGCCAGAACTTCTTTGGGGAGTTTGTTTTTTGTTTAAAGTGGAATGCCACATTTGTGTAGGTTGTGGGTAATGGGTGCATTGTGGCAACCAAATGTGTTGTGYCACATGTTCTTGTGGCTTTAGGGGCACCTTCATTGGACATGCAATTTGAATTTTGTCTCTTCATCCTAATTCTCTCTCCAGAAATCAGAGGCCCTGCGGATGCAGTATCGGTACCTGGACTTGCGCAGCTTCCAGCTGCAGTCCAACCTGCGGCTGAGGTCTCGCATGGTGATGAGGATGCGGGAATATCTCTGCAATCTCCAYGGTGAGGAAATTGCTTGAAGGACAGCAAACAACATTTCAGCTTTGCCTGCTGCTGTCTCCTTCTTCTGGGAGAGATTCCTAATCAACTTGCTACTCCAGTTTGGTCCCATTAATAAGGACTTGTCTGCTTGTGTTGGGTCTTTAGTGGGATGTTAYCAGGCCTGAAGAACAAAGTGTGTTGAAATCTCAGTTGTTTCAAATCAGCTGATTGCAATGAGAAAAGACTACAGGTAGTTTCCCTCTTTTGGTCACACAGTTGAGTCATGTCTGAGGGATGGATTTGTTTTAGGGCTTTTGYTTGTCTTAAAATCAGGACATGCTTTTTGGAAAATCAATGCCTAGTTCAGAATGGATAGGCACATTATGGATTAAATGGATTAAGACATTTTCAGCCTGTTTGGAGTCCTCTGTTATCAACAAGTTTTGGCAGGACATCAGGGTAGCTCAGAGCATTTAAGTCTGTAATTGCAGGAATAATTATTGTAAGTAGTAAAGTGTGTAGGTTTTGGAGAGGCTCCGTGGTATGCTAGATRGCCTATTGTGCTGACTAACCCTACTCCAGCCTACTCTGTCTTATTAGTTCACCCTCCTCTCAGCTTTTTCTGTGTTTGTTCCCCAGGGTTCGTGGATGTAGAAACTCCAACTCTCTTTAAAAGAACCCCCGGGGTATGTATGTGATGCTTTCTGGCCTCCTGCAGCTGCACAGTCAGGGCTGAATCATTTGCAGTTGCCACTCAGCCCTCAT